TGTCGCGTTCAGACTGTCTCTACGGATATTCCTGTCTCTGTGCGAGTTTGTTTATGTCCTCGTCTGTCATTGGTTAGACACGTTTTTGTTTTGTTTTTTTACTGGCACGTACTGTTGACCCTTGGGGTNTCTATTTATTTATTTGTTTCTGATTCTTTTGTTTTCTAGTATTTTATCGCTCTGCTAACCCTTGGGGTCCATTTTATTTTGGTATACCTTTTCTAGGTACGTTAGCCTGTGACCACGGAAATTGGCCGAGTCAAGTGATGGATTAGTACGGAGAGATTGAGACAGAAGGAGGTACTGGATAGAGAGACCGGGATGGTTTTTAATGTGAAGACAACAACAACAACAATGCTCAGTGCGTACAATGTTTTTCTTTTTTTGCCTTCCGACAATTGCAGATGTACCTCAGAAAACTTTCACTTAATGTCTCATACTCTACATGAATATTAAACCAATACGAAGTACAACAACATATGTAGGACTTATTTCTACTGTCATTTACATCGTAAAAGTATCTCCTCTTCAACTTGAAATAAAACCAATGACAATCCTGATGGTATCCTATATGCGTTCGTAAGCTTGCTAAAATACTACTGCGTTGATGTCCGCTTGTAAAAGCTGAAATCCAACAAATGCTTTGATCCATACTACATCTCCGTGTTGGAAAGCCCTTTCTTCTCCGTTCATGATAACATCCTACCCTATTTTACGCAAATCTGTCACATCTACTCTCAATCAAGACGCCAACTTCAAACGAAAACGCGTTCTACGATGCGTCTACACTCCATCCCCATATCATTGGCGTTGACTGGTCCGAGGTCGATCTTGTTCGCCTGTTTTCGGCGTCTTGACGCCCGCGCAATGCGAGCTTGTACCTCTGCACTCGCCGAGATATGGCCACCTGTGTAGCCACCGAAACGATCTGAAGAAGTCGTTCCTTGAAGACTCCTTTCAGAGCCATCGTTCCTCCGTCCCTTCCTCCCACGGCATGTGTCGCAAGTTCATCGATGAACTCGTAACCCTCCTCTCCAAGGCGGCCAAAGCTTTCCACGGCTAAGGTGGTAAGTTTAAAGCTGCGTTCGTCAAAGGACACGTGTCCCGGACGAGCGTAGTGCTGACGCTTTCGCGCCTCGGATGCTTGGGCTGCGATTCCATCGCTGGTCGCGCTGCCGTTCCGCAAGTGTACCTGTGCTTGCGGGTCTGCGTGTGTGACATCGAGGAGTATTCCTTTGTTGCGGTACCCCGGAGAAGATGCGTTCGTGAGGGCTCCTGGCCTGATGACGATGTCCATGCTCAGGTTTCTTTCCCCCGTGAACGGTGCCCCGCTTTCAACGTCGTGTTTGACGCGAAGGCCGTTGAGTGCTCTCGATAGTGTGTACTTTAACGGCTCGTGCATGTTGACCTGTGCTCCATCCCTTGGACAGGTCCTTGCGTGCACCGTTGTGATGATCTCGCCTTCCCTGCCTCTGTGGCACCTGGGACATCTTTCCGCCAAGAATTCTTCAACTCCCAAGGCGCGTCTCGTCGCGTAGACGAATTCGTTCGATGGAATCTCTCGAGCTCGGTCGGTGGGAGCCGCTCTCAGGAACGCGTGCCCCCCTTGCCCTTGCGAGCTTCTCGTTCGTGCGTATGCCATGTTCCTGGCCTCTTGACCTCCGTAGGGGTTGTCCCGCGTGGGTGGTACCGCCTCCTGGGGGAGGTGCTCCAGAGACTCCATGAACTTTTCAAGTTGTATCTTGTTAATCGCCTTGCCCAGTTTGTGCTGGGCTTTCCTCGGCGTAGTAGATTCCCCATCGTGTGCTGCCAGTTCTGCAACGGTGGGCTGACGCCTTCCGGTTTCTCCTGTCGGTTCTAAGGCCCACTCAACCCATGACGGGGGAAGGATCCCCTTCAGAATCTCCACCGATACTCCATGCTCCTGGTTGAGTTCTTTATAGCGTCCCCCATCCGCTCCACCAACACGGTTCCCGGAATCCGAACTCTCACCGACCCTCCCAATGGACCCCGTAACGCGGCTATAACCGCAGGAAGGGTGCCGACTAGGTTGCCCAGAGAAGCTGAGAACCTTCGCATAACGGCTGCTGGTAATCCTAGTCCTCCGGCTCCTGTCGACAGGCGCGCCTGGGCTTGTTGATAGGGCTTTAACTTGAAGCGGTCAGGCTGGCAGTCGTCTTGGAAGAACTCTTCTTCGACTTCGGTGTCTCTGAGCCCCATCGTTGCCTCTAGGACCCACATCACCATATTGTCCAGGCGTTCACAAGCCCCTCTCACTAGCTTATGATTGATGCCTCTCTCGAGATATCCGGATCGCTGTGTCAGCGATTGTGATGTGACGAGGTGAGCTACCTGTTTGTCTGGCATGCGCACCAGCATGCGAGCAAGCTTGTCTGCACCCCCTTCAGCTATCACTTTTATTGCGATATCCTCGACGTATGCATCCGTCCCAATGGGGACTCCCACAACTGTGATGCCCTCCTCCGCAATCGGTAGGCCTGCATCGCCAAGTAGCCTCCTTTCTGCTGGCGCCACGTCGCGCCCTGGTGGGTGAAGCGCTGAGCTCTTCCCCCTGTTGACGATGATTCCCACTGCTTCTAGTTCGTCGACGAGGTCCGGTATCACCTGGATATTTTCCGCTGTGATATTTTTGAAGTGCAGGCTGATGTCGTCCATATAAGCTTTCAAGCATACCCCGAGGTGGTCGTACTTGGCTCTAAGCTTCAAGACGATCGGGACTAGGATGAAGCAGAACAGGGGCGGTCCCATTCCATCTCCTTGCTGCACACCGCTCTTGCACTCGATCGTCCGACGCTCTCCGGAGTCCATCGTGTATATCGCCTTTGCCGGGATTTCGTCGTAACACCTGGCGATGTACCCCACGAGATCTGGGACGCTCTTTGCGGCCTGGGCCATTATGGCGGTGCGCTTGCCCGTGTTGAAGGCATTTGAGCAATCCGTCTGGACTACCCAATGACCTGTCTGATGAACCAGTTGTGCGTCCATCGCAACTTGTTCAACTCCTCCAGCTACCGCCACTCCGAATTGGTCCGCTTCCCGAAATATTTCTTCCAGTTTCGGTTTCCACTCCCTGACCGTTCCCGCTGCAATCAGCCTTCTCCAAGTCATTCCAATGCACACTGGACGGCACTTTTCACCGAGGGCGATTAGACTGGATTGTTTCCAAAGAGTCCAGAACTCCGGTGGGAACGCGTTGGGATCGTTGATGAGCCTCCTCCAAAGGGACGACATCGCGTTGCTGAACTCTTCCCGACCAATTTTAGTGTTGACGATGGACTTAAGGTGGGAGAAACGTTGCCCGTCATTTCCTGCTCCAGAGTTAGAGCTTCTGCTGTTGATGACTTGAAGGAGTACTTGTGGATCGAACTCGGTTTCTGGCCTCCATCTCGGGGCGCTTCCTTCCTCCTCCTCGGTGCGGCTTGCAGCTTTGGCTTCGGCGATGGCCTGCTCCACTTGTACGGGATCCTCATGCGGAAATTTGGCTTTCAGACGTGCCCATGTCTCGTCGTTCCCCGGTGACGGTTGATCGGCTAGGAGCGCTCTTGCTGCGTCCTTCACGCCTCCAGAGTGCCGGCATGCCTGCGCCGCCCTTTTGAACTTGTCGTCGGGTGTGTCTTCCCGTGCCGATCCCCTGCTCCTTGCACTCGCCGCCTTCGTACACTCAATCAGCCAAGGAAGAACGGACGATATATCCCCTCTTTTGAGCGAGTTGTAGCGTTTTTTTCGAGCTATCCGACCATCAAAGGAGTGCAGAATACCTGGTAGGAGGTACCAAAGTTTGATGACCCGGATAGTGGAAAGTGGGGTCCCGGTCGCCGAGGAAGCGCCGCCGCCTTCTGCTAGCTGCTTGTTAACCAGGTGGAGCACGTGGGTTTGGAGACAGGCATGGTCGGAAGCAAACCTAGGTTGAACTTTCTTCACCGTCTGGAACCTGAGTGAGAGATCATCCATGCTGACATCGTCCAAAGCAGGCCCTATTCCCGGACTGTCTTGGTTCGAGATGTACAGCGAACGTGCTCCGTGGGGTTCGTCGTTTTACCCCCTTATCAGTCTTTCAGCTCGTAGCTGCAGCCCCGGGTCAGTTTGAACCGCCGTCTCCAGGCTGCCCCTCCGAGAGTGTTGGGCCCCGCACCCGTGCACCCTATACTCAAGCAGCGCGCGTTCTCCGCGTCCCTCCAAGCTAGATAGTACGCATCTTGCGTGGATGGGATGCCCGCAAGTGGGTTGTACCACACGGTGTCCCTCGATGACCTCACCCGAGCACACTCCGCATCTGGTACTGGAACGAGGGTGCTCGCTTCTGTTCCCCGTGGCGCCAGGTTCCATGCTTCCTCCAACGCCCCCGTTCCTGGTCGCTCGGTTATCGGCACCCGGAGTACCCGTTCCTCCCGAACCCCTTCCCTNACACTCCGCATCTGGTACTGGAACGAGGGTGCTCGCTTCTGTTCCCCGTGGCGCCAGGTTCCATGCTTCCTCCAGCGTCCCCGTTCCTGGTCGCTCGGTCATCGGCACCCGGAGTACCCGTTCGTCCCGATTCCCTTCCCCGGTGTGTTCGTGCCGGATGTGATGGCGTTCCTCTTTCTCGCGACTCACCGTCTGGATCCGGTTCACTTCCCTGCCGGCGTCGCCTGTTTCCGCCTTGAGGTGGTTCCGAGGAAGTTCGTTGACGTTCACCCGATGTAGTAGCGTCATCCGATGATCCGCTACCCTCGCGGGCAGATGGTCTGCGCCGCC